TTCTGGAGATTTGAACCCAGCTCCTCATACAGAGCAAATTCTCTTCCCCCGGGAACCATCTCCCACCCTGTTGTTTTCTGTTGGAGATATGCCATTGTTGTGTAACCCAGGCTAGCCATGAACTAACTCGTGGTTCTCCGGCCTTGGTCTAATGCCACCACCACATTCAGGACTTGAATTGTTTCTCTCTTTTTACACTTCTGTGTGTGCATCTAGAATATGTGGACCATGGCTTTCATCTAGAGGGTAGAGGACAATTTGTGGGGGTTTGTTCTCTCCTTGCTTCATATGGGTTCTGGAAAGCAAACTCAGGTAGCCATCTTGCCAGCCATTGAGTTTCTTTAGTATCATGCTTAATCTTATCATAAATGTTCACTGACTCTTCTATCAATCGTCCATTTGTGTTATTTGACCACTTTCTGATAAATGAAAACCATTTTATATTAGGGATAGCAGATGCTTATGATGTATTGCAATTGTTGTGTATTTTTAGCTGTTTACACTGTCTGTATCTATTTATACTTTTTGGCCATATAAAGGTTTTGGCTAAAAATAAGGGCCATATTTCAATAGAGTACACTATAACTCTCAGTAACCATGAGGCCAGATCACAAGAAGCTGGAAGTGGCTGTGGGAAGAACCAGGTAGTAATGATTCATGCTCCACAATAAGAAATATGAATTTTATTTCTGAAGTTCTAGATAGCTTTAGGATTCTGATAGTTGATCTTTTTATTTGATGGTGCTAGTGTTAGGGTTCAAGCTTGGAATTTCAGGTATGCTAGGTGAGCACTCTACTCCTGAACTACACCCTGAACTGATGACTTATCCCATATATAAACTAAATTTTTAAAAAGGTTGGGGTAGTGTTGAAGGTACAGTTCAGTGGCAGCAGAACAGTGTTCGAAGCAAACGGAGCACTTGGGGTAAACATCTAGCAGAGTAAGAACAAGAAAGGGGACGGATGGACGGACGGACAGAGCAGGAGAGCAGGGGGCTGAGAAGGACAAGGAGAAAGATGGCTGAAGCAAAGACAGGATTCTCGATGGCTCGGGACTACAGGAAGTCATGGATACACAGGAGTAATCTGGCTTGCTTTTTTCTTTCCTTTAAAGAAAATACTGTATTTTTGATGCCATGTTGCCCAGGCTGTCTTCAAAGTCCTGGGTTCCAGTGATAATCCTGCCCTAACCTTCAGAGTAGTTAGAACTACACTCTGCCACCACACCTGGAAGCCTTTTTTTTTTTTTTTTAAACAATAAAGACAAGTGTAGTGGGTAGCTGTTCCAGCTTTGACCTGGAAGTACTACCCTCATTGAGGCTTCCTGTCACACCTACAAGGTGGGACCCAGAGAGGGGCCTTTAAGACCGGAGATCCAGATGGGCCGGCTCTCTTGGTTCCTGGATCCTGGATGCTGGGTGTAGACCGAGCAGAGTTCTCCAGAGAACACCTCTGGACTGCGCTACACCTTTCCCGGACCCTGTAACCTATCCCTGCACTTGTAAGTTACCCCACAAAATAAAACTCCCTTTTAACTACATGGAGTGGCCTTAACACTTCCACCAATAGACAACACCTGAAAATGTGAGAGAGAGAAAGGATGTGGAGTACGTTTATCACTTTTTCATATATGAGACCTTAACCTTGTTCTTTTTTAAATTTTTTTTTAACTTTATTTTATGTGCATTGGTGTGAAGGTGTCAGATCCCCTGGAACTGGAATTACAGACAGTTGTGAGCTGCCATGTGAGTACTGGGAATTGAACCCAGGTCCTCTGGAAGAGCAGCCAGTGCTCTTAACCACTGAGCCATCTCTGCAGCCCCAACCTTGTTCTTGAAGTCCTCTGTGTGCAATTTGTGACAAGAAATTTTTACATTGCTAAGATTCTTTCTTAAGGAGGAAGACCAAGAAGGCCACAAGACAGACCATCTTCCTAAAAAAATGTCTGTGCCAAAGAGCTGGAACTGGGCATGTCCAGGGCCTTACTACAGTTCTACCCAAACCACACCCTACAACTACCCAGCGTTCTTATGCTTATCTGCCCTCAGGAACCCCAAACCCCAGCTTGGAGTGGCTGAGGACCCTGTGAACACTGCCTGGAGAAGGCTCTCTCTGTTACCCACCTGTGCACTCCCCAGAAAAAAAAGAAGCTGGTTCTGAACTAGGCGGAGGGAGGAAGATTAGGAGTTCAAGGTCATCCTGAGCTACACTCCAAATTCAAGATTGAGGCGAACCTGGGCTACACAAGGCCCGGTTCCAAAAAGAGCACAAGAGAAAAGAAGACAAGAAGACAGGGTAGGGGTAACAAATTCAAAGTCCATGCAGCTTGAGAACGCCACAGACAAATGTGTCAGCAAATATTCTCTGGCCCCATCCACACACAGGCAGTTAAACCACCAAGTCAGCCTTGAAGGCTGAGGATATTTCCTCGAGGCAGAAAGAATATAGAAAGGATATAGCCGCGATGGGAGGAGACTGAACACAAAGACCTGGCGTGGTGGCCCACACCTCCTAGCATCTGGGAGGCTGATGCAGGAGGACTGCCCTAAATTCAAAGCCAGCCTGAGCCACAGAGTAAGGCAGAAGTGTGGGATTTATTTTTGATTATTTTATGTGTATGTGCGCTCTGTCCGTATGTGCAAAAGGAAAAAACTTCAAATGAAAGCAATAAGATATTAATTTCTCACATACACCCCCAGACAGTCTCAACCCAAGCAGCCCCAAGCTGTCTATATAGCCTCCGTCAGCCTTGAACTCCTGACCTTCTTTCCAGAGCCTCCAAATGCTGGGATTACAGGTAGAAACCAAGGCATTTGATTGCAAATTTTTACTTGTAAAGCTGGCAAAGAATTAACAGAAGAACAGGACAGCAAAACAGAATCCCCTATATTTGCAAAGCCCACACACACACTGGTGAAAGCAGTACAGATCACCATGAGAAGTTATTACAGTTTTCAATTTGCGCTCACGTTGAGTCAGCAATTTCAGTTCTGAGTGTCTGCCCTAAAGAAATGTTTGCAGCCAAGTGTGGTGGCACAGGCCACGATCCCAGCTCTTTTCAGGCTGCCAGGTGAACTTCTGGTTTAAAGATATAACCTATTACTTGATGTGATACTTGAAAGGGTAACACACAGACGAGAAAAGTCAGATGTTTTCAGCCAAAACAAAAACACATAGTAAAAGTTTGTAAGGGAAGTCGCGTGGCTGTCGTGACTGAAATAGTGTAATGAAGGCTGAAGAGACAAACAGCACAAGGTGAAGCTCCCAAACCTTCGCTTAAGACATATGGAGAGGTAAAGTGTGGGGCGTTTACCCACCAGCCCCACAGCTCCCCAGAGTTTTCTTGAGTGTGAGCAGCAGGAAATATTAGATAGAAGAATTTATTGCAGAGAATCTTGCAGAGATAAACAGATAGAAAATAAAGGATAGCCTTGAGAGGGCCTGAAACCTATTCCAATGGGCCCGAATGTCTCTGGCCCAGGGTTTTTATAGAGACACCAAGGGGTGGAGCAAAAGACCTCCTCCCCCAGCACAGCCAAGTGCAGACCATCTCAGACACCTGCACTCAGGCCTGTGGTCCTAATCATCCTCTATGCAGACCTGCTGGGTAAAGCCACGAGGAACCCGAGAACAGGCTCCCACAGTAAAGATGTCTCCAGATAGGTTTGAAAACCGTCTTCACGGCTCCTTTAGGTCCAGCTACATCCAATTGCCTTGATTTCCTTCAGACATCGAGACAACAGCTCTGCTGGTGAAGCCTGCAGACCTGCGTTACCTGCGTAAGGGAGAAGTGCAGTGGTCCACGGGCCCAAACACACACACCACCACCATCTAAAGCATCACATCCCACACCCTAGGCTTCCAGAGCTCTGTCCGCTAGAAAACGTGCTCAAGCTGGGCGGTGGTGGCCTTTAATCGCAGCACTCAGGAGGCAGAGCCAGGTAGATCTCTGTGAGTTCGAGGCCAGCCTGGTACCAAAACTACACAGAGAAACCATGTCTCGAAAAACCCAAAGGAAAAAGAAAAAGAAAATGTGTTCAACTGCCTTTTGAACAAGTGCTGATTTATATTTTGTGACTTCTTCTGTAATTTGTTTTGTTCAACTTCCAACAAAAGTCTAAGCAGGAGGCTCAGTGGTTAAGAGCATATATTACTCTTGAAATACTCCATATTTCAAGCTTGCACCTCCAGCTTCTTTGACGTTTCTCAATTGGGTTACTGAATAAGAAAAATACACTCCATTTCTCATTTTTTTTTCTTTTGAAAGCCTAAGATTCACTTTGCCTACTACAGATTTTGATTCGCCGACTAGACCTCAAGATGGTCAGAAAATTAAAATAACTAGCTATAGAATTAATTTCTTTCTTTTCTTTTCTTTCTTTCTTTCTTTTTTTTTTTTTCTTTTTGCTGCTACTCTTCAGCCAAACTGGGTGTTAGATTGACTAGGAAGGAGTCCACAGCCCTAGGTTTGCATGAGGCATTGCAAACGCTTCCCTGTTGGGTGCAGTCCCAGGCTCCCTCCGCCGCCCGAGGCTCTGAGCCAGAAGGTTCTGAAGCCTGGGCTCGTCCAAGAGGCTCTGACAGATGTGCACTGGGTGAAACCACCAGATCCAGAGCCTGCAAGGTCGGTCTGGGGACTAGGCCGGCCTTGCTCAGCAGTTCTTGCCCGCAGGGCTCAGAAACAAGGGGCTGCCGAAAATCAGGCTCCCCGGGTGGGGTGCCCACAGATCCCCTTCCGCACAGCGCCTGCGGCACAGGTCCCAGCGCTGGGAACCAGAGCAGCCTCGGAAGCCCACGGCTCGGGGACGTGACCTCTCCACCGCAAGACTTCCGCACTCTGGGCCCTCACAGTCAAGAAAAGCCTCTAGAAGATTCCGCGAGCTTCGGCAACCGGGCTTGAGTCCGCCCACACAAGGCCCTTGGGCGCCGCCGCCCCGGCGCCCCCGCGCCGTTGCCCAGGTAACCGAGGGGCGGTGGCAGCGGCGTGGGGCGGGACTTCCGGCGAGTGACGCGCCCGGGCTCGGCTACAAAAGAGGTCGGCTGCGGCGGGCCGGGCGGAACTTTCCAGAACGCTCGGCGGGAGGTGGAGGGGGCCGCGTCTGCCCGAGCTGCGCTGTGCTACGCTCCTCTTTCCGCTCTCCGGCGCCCGCCCGCTCACCGGTGAGTCTCGGCCCTCGGGCTCCCCTCGGCCGGCC